TCTCCACTTAATTCTTGCTATAAATTTGTCTCTTTGCCACAGTCTTTACACTGTACCTCAGTGTGTCCCAGAGACATGGTGAGCCAGCAGCTCACCACTAACTCAGCTTAAGGAGAAATGCTAGCAACAAAGACCAGCCTGCCAAAACCCATAAAACTTGCTGCTTTTTGCCTCAGTTTAAAGCAAAAAAATAATATTGTCTTTTCTCTAAAGTGGTAAAGCAACACATGCCCAAATGACTTCTTGACATTACAGGATTTTTAACAGTTTTGAAGAAACCTTGGCACTTATAACACATTCTCCAAAATGTATGGTGGTTAATTAGTTTTGTAGTTAGCATAAGTAAAAACAAACTGGTGGGAGTAAGCACAACCACTGGCTTTTGGTAGGCAATGGGAAGTACATGAAATCACAGCTTCTGAATTACTGAATAAATTGTAAAGGAAAGAACTGATTAAAAGCTGAGAGGTAGTCATGTCCATTGCCATGTTAACCTGCTATTTTACTGTTACCACTGTGTCTATGAGAATGTACCTGTACTTACCAGCTGGCAAAAACAGATAATGAAAATGTAAAATATGAAGAAAAATGGGCATTTCCCCCCAAAATGTGTTTTTTTTTTCTTTTTTTCTTTAAGATTTAAATGAGCTTTTTGCATTATTTGTCAATTTTGTTACTTTTTCTGAAGAAAACTTGGTAAGAAAAGATGACTCACAGTAGATTAAAAGCCACTGCTATGCATTGCAAAGCAAAATTTCTCTAGGTCACATGTAGCAATTTTTGCACAGACCACTGCATGCTGATAATACCACTTCCTACCAGAAGTGCCTGTCCCCCTGCACATGTCCTCAGGATCACTCAAAAACTGGCTGCAGGAATATACTGCAGATCTGCACCCTCTGCAAGGCCTGCAGGGTAGATATTCCTGCTTTCACCCAATTTCAGGGTCCTGTCCCCACTTTTGCTTATGTTTCCAGTACTTTACCCCTGCAGATAAGGCTGTTGTTTGTAGTCTTGAGTTATGTTTTCTTATCTAGCACAGAAGATTTGTTCTGACTTTCCTTGAACAGTCATGGGGGGCAGAAAGGAGCAAATAGGCTTTTCTTTGCTGTGTGCCCATTATAAGGAGGGGGCAGAAGTGAAGGGCAGAAGGGCTAAGGAACAACTCGCTTATGCCTGTTTATTTTCTACCTCCTAATGTCTTAAAAGGAATTAATGTCTGTGTAAGGTGCCCTAAAAAGGAAAGCCTTCTGTTTATGTAGGAGGCAGGAATGATATGGGAAGAGACAAGGATGGCTGCCCTGCATTCTCAGGCAGCTTTGCCTCTCTCCTGTCCTGGACTGATCTCTGCCAGTGGTGATGGGCAGCTCTGGCACTGGGCCCATTTCACATTGCCATTTGGGCTGAGATCACTGGGTGTGGTGAAGGCTTTGCAAACACCTCATACTCACAGACAGCTGGCTTGGGACCATGGAGCTCCCCTTACACAGGGCTGAGGAAGAGGACTGACACTGTAAAGGAGTTTGGGTTACAACAGGTTAACAAATCTGAAATAGCAAGCTGGTACACAATACAAACATCAGTGCTCGGGATTGGAAATAAAAAATATACAGGCACTAAACCTAGCTTTTTATTCCACATTTAGGACTGCATGAAATTTCCACTGGTAAAATATCACACTTTCCCTGCAAAAGGATTTCCATTTAACCTCAGAGGATTAGAAGAATGGAACCTCTTCCTATTCTTCTGAGAAGCAGTGCATATGGATGCTGAAGCGGTACATCTCTGAGATCTGGTCAGAATCTTCCAAATAAGAAGATTTTCCATATTTCCACATTTAAACTGTTTTTTCCTTCTTTTATTTGACTTTTGTACTTTTATATATACTTTTATAAAAAGTATTTCCTCCAAAAGATGATGAGCCATAGAATAAACAGGTAATGATAGCAGAACAAGTCCAGCCAGGAAAGGGACTAATAATAATAATAATAATAATAATAAATTATAAACACATACTACTTCTGTGCCCAGGAATTTTGATGTCTTAGATCCTCTGGTGCTATTTTGTGTTCTTATTTTCTGCATTCTATGTCACCTACATCAGCTACTCCACTGGCTCTCAGAAAACATTTTACAGCCGCTATTTCACTTCACACGATAGCTCCCTTCCTGTGTGATTTTAATGGTTGGTGCAAATCTAGATGCGAGAATTAGGGATGCATTTATCCTCCCCAGACAGAAATCCTCCTGCTGACATTCTCCACAGCATAGTTTACGTCCAAAGCTCCAAGAATCATGCAGAATCCCATGGTTGTTTCCAGACAGTCAAGCAGGAAACCAGGTTTGTCAGCAACAATTCTAAAGGCTGTCTTTTTTCTGTCTTTTTCCTTCTTGCCTCTATTGGTGTTCACATCCTTCTTGCCAACACTGGTGCTCCTTTAACTCAGCCACCAGATGTTTTTTCAGGGTTTGGTTCTTATCCCAGCCATGCCATCCCAGGCTCCACATTTGAGTGAAAGAGGAACACCTGTGGCTCCTCATTAAACCTCTGATTTAATGCAAGGTGAGTGAATCAATACCAATGCCTCTCTCTGCACTACAATAAGCAATCTTCTGAGAAGACCAAAGAGTGTGCTGGCATTGGGTGATGGGGAGAGCATAGAAGAATTCTGTCTCTAGCAGGTGGGAATGCTACTAGCACTGCTCTCACGTCAAGATGGGAGTGGGGTTTTTGCCATTGTTGTTGCCCTGAAGATGTTTAAGTCCTCTTCCTCATACTGACTACTCACTAAATACTCACTAAAATATGATAAATCTCCACACAGTAAGCTCTAATAATGAAAAATGCAATATGCTGAAACCAAAAAGTCTAACTGAAGTATGATGCTTTTCAAAGCTGTCTGTTTTCCCAAGGACAGCCAGCCATACACACTGGTCTATGCCTGCACAGTTTTGACTTGATCTCTATATTCTGTCCTCTCCCTAAAAAGTAAGTTTAATGTATTTTGACAAATCATTTTTATTTTAAAATTATAATATCAACAGTTTCTGGACTCTAAACTTGCCTTTTTGCAGAATTTTGGCCTTTTGGCTATTGGCAAATTTGTGTAAATGCACTCACGTTTGACAGTTATAAACCCTCAAAAACCTCCAGTTTGTTTTTATTAGATACATTTCTCATCAATTCTGAGAATGTATTTTTTTCTGCAATGTCAAATCCAAACTGTGTGCTGTGTCATTCAGCATGTCCTGACAGACAAGCCAAGAGCAAAGGGACTGTTGGCCATGAATTGCCTTTGCCCAGCTACATGCCAGCCGTGCACAGAGCACTGAACTGATGGTGAAAGAGTGTGGGGTTTGCAATAGAGAGAGAGAGAGAGAGGTGAAAGAGAAGGGAAAGAAGGCATGGGCTTTTGATGAAGGGGACATGGACCTAAACCAGGAAACAAACTGGGGTGGACTGAAGAACATGGAAGAGGATTAGAAAGAAGGGGAGAACATGATCTTGTACATGTGGTGAATAATTTTGTGGTATGAAAGAGGCTAGTCATGGTCAAAAAAAAAAAAAAAATTACTTTTGTTTTTGACAGACACATCAACATTGCCAAATTTCACCCAGCTGAGAAGAAAGAGCTATGAAGCCAAGGCTGGCAAATTGTACTGCAGTGCCTAATGCAGCAAGTGGCATCACTATAAGAGATGCTGCTAATTTGGGAGCAATAGAGGTCTGGTGCAGTGAAGAGCCTCAAACATGCTTGGGTGATAGAATATGGTATTTGTTTTCTCCATTTAAAAAGCACATGAGATATTGCAGGCCATTTACACACAGATGTGTGCAAATACTTTGTTAAAAATTGCATAATATAAAACAAAATATTTTGAAAAGGCTTACTTTTAAATTTTTGTGACTGTGGGTGCTCATGGTGGCCTGGCAATGCTGTGACTACCTTGCTGGTTGCATCCACTGAACGTTGTAAGATCTGGAAAAGCTAGCAGTAGGTGTCTCAAGTAAGGCAGCCAAATGTCTCTGTATTTAATGCCTACTTCTCTCCACCTTGGCTCACCATGCCTTAGAGAGCGTGCTCCTGAGCCCCTCACTGAGTCACGTGTGACAAAGCCTGCAAGGATGTTAGATGTAATGCTTGAAGAAATTGTCACTTGTGTGCTGGGACTGTGCCACTTTGCAGCCTTCCTAAAGCCCTTGTGTCCCATCCCACAAACAGGCATACGTGGAGAATAAAGCAAGCCCTGATAGCTTCGGCGTCCCTTCCAGTACCACTTACGTGTGAGGATCTCTGCAGGCTGGCAGCGAGCTGTGGGTCCCTGGGAAGAGTGGGGAACTCCAGTGACAAAACTGTAGTGAAAGGGTTTCTTTCAGGCAGCAGGGACGAGGATTTCCTCGTCCCTCACAGTAAGGAAATACAAACAGACCTCTATTTGTCTCCTAAGAGATGAGAAAGAAAAGCGCAACTCTGGGTGGAAGGTTTCACCTGGCATTAAGTGCACGCGTAGCGACGGCACCGCAGCCTCCGCATCTCACCAGGGTATCCCGCCCGGGGCCAGCAGTGCCCGCTCCCCGCCGAGCTGGAGCGCCTGGTAGTCCCAGCGACAGCCAGCCCCACGGGGAGCTGCCACCTTGGCTTTTGTCCCGGCTCAGAAGCCTGGATGCCACGGGCCGGGCTCCCGCCCCGCGCGGTACCGGCGGGAGGCGCGGCGGGGCCAGGGCAGGGGCGCTCCGGTAGGAGGTCGGGGATCACCGGGGAGGGGTCGGGACCACCTCCCGCGCCTGCCAGGGGCTGCCGGTGTTGGTACACGTTGATTCAGCATGCGGCGGGGGCGTGGGGGAGGAATAAACCCTGCGGGAGAAGCAAGCGGCAGCCCCCCGGGAGCATTGGGGAGGGTTAATCGGCGAGGATCTGTGGGGCTGGGAGGAGAAAGCGGAGGCCGGGCTGGGGAGGGGGAAGGATAAGAGGAAAAGGGGCAGAGCGGCTCGGAGCGGTCGCACACCGCCAGCCTCCGTAGCCGCGGCAGTGCCTTCCCGCGTGCTCCCGGTGGTGGTGGTGGGTCCTCCCTTCCCGTCCCAGTCGTTTCCTCCCGCTTCCCCTGCCACAGAGGGCTCAGGGCTGGAAGGGAGAGAAAGGGACCCCCAGGGCTAGACAACAGCCCGCCCGAGGCGAAGGCAGGCGCGGCGCCCCGGGGGAGGCGGCGGCGTTCGGCAGATTCCCCCGGCAGTGGGAGGGCTCCGGAGAGGAGAGGCTAGGGGAGCATCTCCTAGCCGGGGCTGACTCCCAAGGAGCGAGGGAGGGACAGAGAGAGAGGGAGAAAGTGCCGCCTCTCAGTTTTACAGGCGTCCCCAGATTTTAAGGACTGGGGTGGGGAAAAAGAAAACTGAGGACCTGAGCTGGGACCTCCCAGCCGGAGCGATTGAAAAGGAGCCAAGCAGGCGTCGAGGGGGAGCGACATCCCAAGGAGAGTCCCGTCCTCTGCTACCCGCAGCCGCTGTGTGCCCGCCGCCGCCTCAGGATGTGGGTGCCGCTGCTGCTGCTGCTGCCGGAGCTGCTCCCCGCCGTGCCGGCGCAGAAGCTCTCCGCCCTCACGGTAAGGCCACCCCGCCGCCGGGAGCACCTGAGCGGGCGATGCGGGTCCCGGGTGCGGGCCGAGCGCCGCGCCCTGCCCGGCCGGGCGGGAGCTCCGCCGCGTTCGCCCGGGAGCAGCGGCACCGCCGGGGAGAGCGCGGCCCGCGGCTGCCAGGCGCAGGTCTGCTGCGGGTCCCCGCAGCGCTAATGTCCGTGTTAATGCTTTTATTTGCCCCAAGAGCAATAACGCTGCAGTGAGGTCCGCTTTTGGACCGACTCGGGCCGACCGACTTCATTTTAATTATAAAGCAACGTGAAACAAGCCTTTCTGGCTATTCCAGGCTCCGTGGTGCTATACATTGAACTCTGCGTAGAGATGGGTGAGCCAATTCATTAGGCTTACTAAATAAGCCATAACCACTATTCTAGCCAAGACCTGAGGTTTGTAGCTAATAGCTCAGTTCAGTCTTCTTGCAGAGCTTGCAGTGTTTGCGAAGCTATAATTAATGCAATCTGTAGAAATAAAAACATTTTCCTTAAATGTGTTTTTGAACAAGTGCTTGAGTAAACATAACGGGCAGCAAATACCTCTTTCAAGCTGTTTTTAAGTGTTTTGGTGAAGGCTGTGTGCTTAGAGTTTATTATGGTAAAGTTACAGGCAGCTGCAAAGTGAAATAGATCTTATTTGTTTAAGTCTTTCAGAAAATTTCTGTAAAATCCCAAGCGTTGAGTTTTTTCCTTTTTTTCTCCCCCTTTTTCCCCCCACTTATTGACGAAGGTGCTATAGGGACAGCTCAAGGTGAAATGGCTGTGGGGGATGGCTGTGCTGTTCATACCTGAAATACTTCAGGAAAAGTTTTGCCTTGTTGACTAAATTTGAATGGTTTTTTTTTTCCTCTTAAATGATTTGTAGATTAGAAGCTGCTAACTGAAAACCTTAAAGGTTTGAGCTTGCTTTGTGAATTTTATTGTGTGTGTGATTTTAAAGTGTGGGACAGATAAATTCAAGTGATTCTCATATTTTACTTTTTAAGACCCTCATTTGAAACTCCTTAGACTGTCAGGTGATATATACTATTCTAGTAAACAGATTAACATTGTAATTTACTTTCAAGTTTATTTTAACAAATGTATAAACATAATTTGCTATATAAGACATGTAATATTCTTTTTTCCTGTATCTAAAAAGAGTTCTAAATATTAGTGTGGAAGTAAACTGGAAATGCTACCAAACCTTAGTTTGTCCAAATATAAAAGTTAAGAGTGATGGTGACTGTTACAATATCTTTAGATGATACATAACCCAAATTATGTTAAAGCTGTTTAAATTATGGATATAAATCACTGCAGAATGTTTTTCAGTCACTGAGGGGTTTCAATCACAAAAGGGAAGAAAAATATGGCCAAGAGCACTTTGGCAAACTCTGAAAATTAAATGCCATAGGTTCATGCAAATATATTTGACTTCACTGTTATCTGAGTGATGTTAGAAGTCCCTCTGTTCCTTCAAATTCAAAGTGTGCATTGCTCATTTATGTACCTTATAGCAGTCTGCATCTTTGTGAACCATGAGCAGAAAAGTCAATCATGGTGGAATTCCCTGCCTCTGCTACCAAAAAGGTAATAGATTTGAAGACGTCAGACTTTCAGACTGAAATGAACTTGAACATTTTGGTAGGTGTAGCTAGTCTTGTTAGTAGAGGACTCTAGGTAGTGAGCTCATGTTAGTTTTTCCGCTGCCTCTGCTCTTCTTACGGAAAGGGCTCACCCATACAAATACTAGACTAGATTGGAAATACTTCCCTGAAACAAGTAAGGGGACAGGCAGACACCCATAGGAACGAAATAACACACGCACACACTGATGCACATATACTTTCTACATCTTCCCATAAGGCTGAACTTTGAGTGAGGCAGGTTTATTTCTACTATTTCTGTACTTAGCTGTTTCAACAACAATAAAAACCCAGAGCTATTACAGCAACAAATACCACATCGCTTAATGGTTGTTAACTCCTGTAGTCATTTTGCTTGTATCTCACAGACTATATAACCCCCTTCCACATGCACCTTTCTCAAATATCCATGGATAGTATCTGCATAATTACAAGGAACTACAAACCCAAGCTGTGTAGAAAGACCAAGAAAATCTGTGGCTTTTTCTTTTCACCTGCTGTACCACTGTGTGGCGACTCAGAATAGCCATTTTTTTCCACACATCATATGCAGATTTTATTTTTATTTGTGGTTTGAAGAATAACAGATATAGGCCAGAGGTCATGAGAACAGGGCATGTTTCACTGTGGATATGAGTTTTATGAAAACTATGGGATGATCATGGAGAGGGAATGCACATCCCTGATCACAGTACTGTCAGAGGTATATTCATCTTGCCAGGTGGTGGCAATATCAGGGAAACAGCCTACTGCAGTCATAAATCTGACATAAGATGAACCTTGGCAGAGACAAGATAATAAAATTATAGTTCTCTCTAGCAAAACACACTACTGTTTTCCAAAAGGTAACACATGGATAAGAGGTTTGTTCCTTGCCTGGGCTCTAAGCAACAAACTGGGTGATAGCATGGCAGGGAGGGAAGATATCAACATCTGTCTTTAAGATTTTCATCTGTATAAACAGATCTCTGGCCTGCTTTAACTATATGTCCTCACTAGGTCAAGGAGCAGATCAAGTACTGCTTTCAGAAGACACTTTCAGTAGTTTACAGATCTGTTTCCCCATTTAATTGGGAATAATATTTTTGCATTTCACTTGGGCAGAAATACCCACAAGAGCCACCCATGTCTGTAGTCCAGGTGAATATGTGATTTTCAGATGCTGGAAGCTTTGCAATGGTCTCATAGTAATAAATCACAGAGTTTTCACAGAAATAATATCTCCAAGAGATTTCTGATTGTCTAAGAGTCTTATGTGATTGCAGGTTTGCAAGGCGTGATGAGCATATGGGTTCCTACTACATTAAGATGATTTCTGGCAGGCAGATGCATCAGAATAGTCAGCAGATAGTTGAAATGCTCTAGTCTAGAGTCTTGTCCCCTGGATCTCATGGCTATATCTAAAGGGAGTGTGTATGTTGTAATTTGTCCCTCTCTGCCCAAACTGTGGACCCAGCCAGCACTTACTTGACTGCCTGACTATGTGCCAGGATAGAGAAAGACTGATGAGAGATGGGCTGATGCACACCTGAATCTTTATTGGGAAGCCATGATGTGCATCAGGGTCTAAGAGTTTCAGAGTTTCTATATGTTCACTGGGTTAGAGATAGTCCAAATCTTACTTTGAGTTTGTACCAGTCTTGGCTTCTTGTCACAAAGATTACTCTTTCCTAAGGTTCTCCTGGACTCTGCAATAATGGATAAAGTGAGGTGAAATGTAATATTCAAATTATTAATTGCTAACTGAGCCTCAGGGATGCATGCAGGAGGATAATGTTCTTTAGTATTGTATTTATTGTTATTTCAAATGAACAAATATTGGCAACAGAACAATGGCTTTCATTATGGAAAGGTAGGCTGAGAGCTGTCTCACAAGAACCCATGAGACCTGGAGGTGCTGTAGCCAGTTTGGCTATTCCTGTTTTTTTCTCCCCTTGTGTCAAATACTAATGTAAAACATTCTTACATTCCACAAAATATCTTAAGTAGCCTTGTCCTTTTACCTTGTTTATAGAAAACCAGGTAGCACTCTGCAATTTTTGTAACACAGTGTTGGATTTTTTTGTTGCAATGTTACATTTTTATTCTGCTCTGTGAGATGTACCCGTTCTTTCTGGATATATGAAACTGCAGAGATCTGAGCCTTGTTGATTTCTTGTATTAGGAAAATTCGGTGTATCTTGAGGATATAGGTACTTTTGTTTTGAAATACAGTGCTTTGAAGAAAGCTCATTTTGTTTATGAACACTGCACTTACCAACACACTTTGTCATTGTTTATACTGCATTTTTGAAACCATCAACTTCACTTTTATCTCAGTTGCAGTGTTGTGTGTGTGGATGTACTTCTAAAAACAATAGGATACAAGTGTTTCTTATTTTAAAATCTTGATGACTTTCAACATACCACAAACTATTTATACTTTCAAAGCCTTGCTGCACCATGTGCTTTTCTCAATACAATTGATAGATCTTACAAAGGAAGAAAGTTTGCTTGAAATTACTTCTTGAAATGAACACCTCTGCTTGGTAATAGTTTCTTTCATCAGCAGCTGAATATTTCAGGGAACAATTGTTTTCTTTTTCTCCCTTGGCACATGCTTTGTGAGTATTCAATAGCATTTAGTGCGCTTGATAACTTCGCAACACTGACCAATATAAAGTGGACCACTAAGGTAGTACAGTAAAGGGAAGCTAAAATCAAAGCTTTCCAAGTTAAGGACCCATTTGGATGGTGCCTGCAAACCAAAACATTTGGAAAAGTTACTCTAATTGTGACTGAAAAAACAAGACCATAAATAAAATTGTAAGTGGCTCCAGATCCTAACAACATTGTTACTGCAAATGGGCATTGGTACAACCAAGGGTACATCAGCTCTGAAAATAAAACATTTTCAACAATGTTCCTTGCAATAAACTCTCAAGACACTTCTTATTAAAGAAACAACACCAAAAAATGTGGGAGTTGATCCTGAAAGTGTCAGCAAACTTTTCATCAGGGGTCAGAAGTAATTTTTGTGCATGCAGCCAACATAAACTGCACCTTATAATGTGTAAGACATTAATGAAGATGGCCAGTTGACTGCATGCCCATAAAGTTTTTACAACTAATATTGAAGATTAGAAATGAATGTGAATGGGGAGGGAAGAGCAGGACAGAGCAAATAAAAAGAAGTAGATAATGCATATTGTGGCCAATTTTAGTGCTGTCATTGGCCCCCTGTTGCCTACTGAATACCTCGAGGAACAGCTGTATTCCTTGACAGTGGGCAAACTTCAAGGTTTAGTTAATTTTGAAAAGCCTCCAAAGGTTCAGCTGCTATCCAAAACCTATCTGAACCCTGTTG